CAAGTCTCCATAGCATTTAAGCTATTCCTGGAATAAAAACAGCAAAAGTTGAAAGAATGAATATTTGTTGAATGGATTAACAGAACCTGTACAGAGGAGGATAAATAGAGAACCTGCTAATAGAATTCATAACTTTGATAAAGAAGTTTTCACTTCATAATTTTTCTTTTATCATAAAAGAAATTAGTACCATCTAAGGAGGCTCAGGGGAGGGACTTTGCTGAGAGGCCAGGATGGCTGAAGTTGGAATTTGAATTTGAGTACATTTCCTGCATAAAAGAAAGATGGAAAGTTTTCATAGATACCAAAACAATGCCACCTATAATTCACCAAATACGGCTGGAATGACTCTGTACCAATTTAACATGATGAATGATGAGGCCTGGTAAGTTCTAGTTAGAGAAGGGGCTAGAAAGGCAGCCAAGGACCAGTGTGCTTGATGTCTTAGGGTATCTCGAATGTTCCTATGAAAAGCCAGATCACATCCAGAAATGACACATCACTGAGTAATTTCAAACAGTAAAGAGTGAAGGCTTAAGTTTGTAGGTCAGACAATACTTTTTTATGATGAAGATAATCAAAGAGAATTAGTCTTTAAGGAACCTGATACAAATTGAACAAGTTCCAAAAGTAAGCAGTGCCACTGGAGGAAAAAGGGACTATTCAACATGTAATGCATAGGGAAAGGTAGCTAAGAATCAAGAACATTTTCTTTCGTTTTTTGTTAATTGTGAAAATACTGTACAGAGGGGTTACAATTACATGGGCAAGATAATGAGTACATTTCTTATCAAGCAATGTAGCCTCTCCTCCTTTGTTTCCCCTTCCCATCCCTTCCCAGCCTCCCCCCACCCCCCCACCCAATCCTCCCCCCCCCCACCAAAGTTGTAAAGTTCGTTTTCGACATGACAACTTGTACTTCTCATTGTTGCAACGGGTCCACCTGTATCCTTATTTAAACGATTTGTTTTTCCTCTTCCCCTCCACAAATTATACCGACATCAGCAAAGCAACAAAGAAGTAATCTTATAAATGCGTTAGAAACAAATGCATGAAAGAAAAAAAACATTCAAATACATATCTTAGGGTTCATTTTCCTAACATCACCTTATCTGACCTTTTCTGCTTGACTCATACATATACTAAACATTGCAAATAAGGGAAACCATGGGACCTATGTTTCTTTGGGCTTGGCTTACTTCACTTAATATAATTTTTTCCAAGTCTTTCCATTTCCTAACAAATGGGGCAATGTCATTCTTTCTGATGGAGGCATCGAATTCCATTGTGTATATATACCACATTTTCTTGATCCATTCATCTACTGAGGGGCATCTGGGTTGGTTCCATATCTTAGCTATAGTGAATAATGCTGCAATAAACATAGTTGTGCTGGTAGCTTTAGTGTGGTCTTGTTTGTAAACATGTGGGTAAATGCCCAAAAGTGGGATTGCTGGGTCATAGGGGAGGCTCTATGTGGAGTCTTTTGAGGAATCTCCATACTACTTTCCAAAGTGGTTGAACAAGTTTACACTCCCACCAACAATGAAGTAAGATTCCCTTCTGTCCACATCCCCTCCAGCATCTGTTGTTATTAGAGTAGAATCAAGAACATTTTCAAATGTGCTTTCTCGTTCATAAAACACCAGGTACATAAAACATCACATGCATTTGAAGCAAAGTGAAAGTCACAAATCAAGGTGACACCTTTTTTTTTTGTCTATTGTGGGTCTTGAACTCAGGGCCTGCATGCTATCCCTGAGCTCTTTTGCTCAAAGCTAATGGTCTATGAATTTGAACCACAGTACCACTTTTGGTTTTCTGGCCATTAATTGGAGATGAGAGTCTCATGGCTTTCCTGTCCAGGCTGGCTTTGAACCATGATCCTCAGATCTGTCTCCTGAGTAGCTAGGATTACAGGCATGAGCCACTGGTGTCCAGCTGGTGATACTCTTTAAGGAAGCAAATTTTGAAAGATGACCTACTAGGGAAGAAGTGAAATGGACATATAAAATTGAAATTACCATTGATGGGAACTCAATCATTTGTATTGTCTAAATTTCTTTCTTTATGTATATTGTATTTCAAGGTCTTATTCTTCAAGTAGAAACAAAAATGTAGATGCACAAATGAATAAGTTAAGTACAATTTGCTAGGTATCTTTTATTTATTTTTTATTTTTTTATTTTTTGGTTCCGGTGGTGGGGCCTGAACTCTGGGCCTGGGCGCTGTCCCTCAGCTCTTCAGCTCAAGGCTAGCGCTCTACCACTTGAGCCACAGCACCACTTCTGGCTTTTTTCTTTTTGCTTATGTGGTGCTGAGGAATCGAACCCAGGGCCTCAGGCATGTAAGGCAAGCGCTCTACCACTGAGCCACCTTCCCAGCCCCCGTTAGATATCTTTTAAAAGAAAATTTGTTTGCTTGATGTTTGTACAATTGTCATATATATATATATATATATATATGTATATTTTATTGTAAAGATACTGTACAGAGGGGTTACAGTTACATGAATAAGGTAATGAGTACATTTCCTATCGAGCGTTGTTATCCCCTCCTTTATTTTACCCCTACCATCCCTTCCCTCCCCACCTCCCCAACTCCTGCCTCTCCACCAAGTTGTAAAGCTCATTTTCAACATAGTGTCTTGTACATCTCAAGTACAATTGTTATATTATATGCATTTTTAGTTCTGGTATAGTAATGCTATTTCAGAGTTCCTTTAAATTAGAGAAACATTTTCTTGTACTGTGAGTCAATGTTATGCAAAGATTTATGATGGTTGCAAAACACAAGCAAAGAAAAAGCTAAGGCCTTCATTATGATAAAATTATAGCTACAGAAAAGCCAAAATCTAAAAAATGATCACAAGGAAAAAAATAAAGTTACTGCTTTGTAAACCCAATCTTTTAAACTGTCCACTATTTCTAAAAACTTAGCTTTTACCAGGAAAAAAAAATTTAATTAAAGCACCAACATTCCTCTAGCTCATTTAGTGGTCTATTATTCATGTCTTTTTTTATACTTATTAGGGTATGATTATTCCTTACAAACCTCAATGTTTGAGTACATTATAGTTTTCCCTCACTAAAAAGGCACCATCTAGCTCTAATTTTCACATAGGGACATTGAAAAGACAGACTTTTATTTTTTCCATTGCTTCTCCCCCTCACAATAAGAGAACAGAATTAAAACTGATTTTAGTAGATCAGTCTTAGGAGAGGAAGAATTCTTATGTCTTATAGCTATAGCTATCTTCAGAACAATTAATTCAGAAAGTCATGGATTCAAAAGCATTGTCAGTAAGATAATCATTAAGAACTTCTTGTTATGAATTCACCCTGATTTAGGTCATTTTTCTTATTCCTTTCTTGAAATGTTAATAAAGTAAACTCTAAACCATCTATCTGTCTTGATAGTGCATAAATTGGGAAAGTAGAGGAAAAGAGAACATAGGCAAGGCAGGAGATGCTTCTGAGCAATTCTCGAGAAAAATGGGGTCAAGAAGAGACTCATGCTATTTTCTGTTGCTTGTTTTGAGAGGAAGATCTGGAACGCTTGAGACCATAAATGCATCTGAGTATGTCACAGGTAATATTAATTCTCATATATTTATGTTGTAAACAGCAGGGTTCTTTCTACAGTGATTCTCTAGAGAAAAGACCTTTCCTACTTTTTCACTGTTTAGGGCTTCTCTAGGTTTTGCTACCTTAACCATCATATCACATGATGGTTTTGACAAATGCCTGACACTGAGCACCGGTTAAATAATCCTACATGGATGCCATTTCAAACTGCAATCCTAGGCTTACATGAATGAATGGATCTGTATGTCTGGGACAGTATGTCGGGTAATGTACGTTTAGAAGACTGCCTTAACTGGATTCATACTAGAAAAACACTAATTATGTACTTGGAGAGCACCATCCTCACTGGGATAATAAAGGAAGAGCAGATAAGTAAGTCTTCAGATGTTTTCTCTTCTGTTACCTGCCTTGACTTAGCCCGGGACATACAGGGTAAACTGACAGCATCCCTCACATTGGTGTCCTGGGAAGACCATTGTCTCCACTGGAGGGAAGAGCTGTCCCATAGAGCTAACGGTTGTCTCCATCAGATAGTTGCACAAAGGACATCAAATTTCCCTCATTATATAGGGAATACCACCTTCTAGTTAACTCTGTCCTAGCTGATCCACCTCCGGTGTAAATGTAATCACTATTTTAAATTAAAGTTATATTTTATAGACTTAATAATAACAGAATTTATTTTTGTTTTATTTTATTTCTCAGTAATGGGACTTAAACTCAGGACCTGGGCACTGTCCCTAAGCATCTGTGCTCAAGGCTAGCGCTTTACAACTACAACCACAGCTCCACTTCCAGCTTTGGGGAGATTAATTGGAAATAAAAGGCTCAGAGACTTTCCTGTCTGGACTGGCTTTGAACCATGATCCTCAGATCTCAGCCTCCTTAGTAGCTAAGATTAGAGGAATGAACCACTAGTACCAGGAAACAAAGGTCTTTAAATATGTAGAGAGACTGCCAGCTGGAAGATTTCTTCTAAGCAATCTAGATGTAAAACTCATTTAACTCAACCCATTTTTGGTAAAGAGAATTTATAGTCCATTCTGTACTACCTCCTCCTTCTAAGAAATGTATGTGACTTTTATATAGAGGGGCAGGAAATTATAATATTCCTTCTTCTTGTCTTATTGAAAGAAAATATTTTTTAAGTTCTTACAAGAAATGACTTGAGTGTTCCCATAGCTAAAGAAAATCACTTTTATGTAGAAAAATCCTGAGAGTCAAAGGTTAATCAGTGTACATCTTGCACATCTGCCAGCCAACTCAGTTATAAATGATGACAGTGCGTTGGTAGTAGGACATTTTTACCTAAGACAAAGTCACTAAAAGCTTTCTCTTAAAACATGCAGAGATTCTTTTTATGAAGTTTATATTTGGGAGACTATGAGGTTCACAAGAATTCAAACACAGTGATGCCATTTGCTATGTTTTATTTTGCTATTGGCTTGTTAAAGATAACATGCAAATAATCAAAAAGAAACATACATATGACTTAGAGTGAAAAATGATTCTAGAAAAGTTTTGCTAGGTAAGTATGCAAATTATTAATACTAAAAATATTTCTGTAGGTGCACATGACTTCATAAATTTTGTCAAGTAATTTGAAAAAAAGATTATTGTTCTTAAAATGCGCCACCTATTTTTCAACAAAAATGAACTTACCAAGGTAATTTGGCTCAAGTGAAGTAGGTATCTATACATATCATTCTATGCTTTTCTGTCCATTAAATTAAGATTCAGGGACTATCAAACTTAGCTGACTTCTATCTAACCAATGCAAAAGTGTTGCAGATCAATGGACAATAGAGATAGAAGAAACACTAAATTTATAAGTACAGTTTGCAATATGATGTCTATGTGTGTGTGTTCTTGTGATGAAATAGGCCTGCTTTTCATCTTTCTCTCATTTAAAAACATGGTAAATGTTTACAAAACATTTTCCTTATTATTTAAGACTCATGGAAGTAATAAACAGCAACAAACAATGAAAAGGACGAAAAATCCATCCACACAAGGAAAACCTAAGATGCTTGGATATGGAGGATATTAATTCACGGTGATTTCATTTGCTATACGTAGACATTCGTACATATCGGGAGGCAGACTGGATTGGGTGAGAGGATTGCCATCCAAACGCAAATGCTTGATCTTAGAATAGGATAATGGTCCCAGGATCTTACAGAAGCTCTTGACATCAAACTCTGAAAATTAAGAATTAGAAATATAAAGTTTAGTCAACTTTTTATTGTCTTAGTTTGAAACAACCACTTTAAAATTTTCAAGTCTATAGTATTATGGAATAGAATGCCTCACTAAAATCATTTGTACTGTGTATCTTTGAAGTGAAAACCACTAAATCTCTAGTCTACTGAATGGGCTGTAGTAATATTTAATATATACTAGTAATGGTAGAACAAGATATTGAATGGAATTTTTCAAAGGACAGAGCACATTTATTATTAAGACTAGATTTCAGGCAGTCATTCAGGTAATGTGACTTATCTAAGAACTATTATAGAGTAATTCGTCTGACCTGAAGAAATAAATTAATGTTATTCTATGAACAACCTCACCAAATGAGCATTTTGGGTTTTGCACCTAAAAATAAGAGAGATTTAATTATATTATCTCTTAAAAAATTGTTCCAGCAAACACACACTATGACAATGAACCAAAACCTCAAGACTAAAAATCTCAAAGCTCTGATGCCAGCATCATAGCCAATGGTCTTCTGTAGTTGAAAAGCTGCCATAAGTGAAAAGCTAATTTAGACTTTAATAAAATCTAAGACTATGTTGAATGAAGTAACTATATGAAGACATATAAACTTTGCATGTGGGTCTAAGTCTATTCAAGTTAACCTTATTATATCCTTAGTCTTGTTTACTTTCATTCTCAATTGCTTCAGAAGAGATTCAGTACAATGTTCTTCTTTCCTATGTGATACTCAAGTAACTCAGACTTCTACAAAAGCAGAAATGATCATGTATAAGTTTTTTTGGAGATTCTATCTCTGCTTTTTATCCATTAGCTGGCATTGAAACACTTAGGTTTTCTTTTCATCTAATATATGCATATAGATACAGAATGTATAGAAAGAATTAAAATATCAAAAGTTTTGGCTATATAGTCGGTTCTATATCTGTATAAATGTGGGCTCCCCACTTGTTGATTCAACAAACCATAGACCAGAACTATTTGGAAAATAATTGCAATTGTGATGAACATGTACACTCCCTTACTAGGTTATATAGATGGCATTTATATTGTACTTAAATTATAAGTAATCTGAGGTATTTTAGGGTGTGTGGAACAATGTATACATTATATATAACTACCACACTATTTATCTTAGGAATATAAGCGTGTGTGTGTGTGTGTGTGTGTGTGTGTGTGTGTGTGTATGTGTGTGTGTTTTCTTTTCCACAAGGAATTCTGGAACTGTTTCTTCACTGTAATGGAGTACAATTATGTATTACTTTATGATGGACATTAATGTAATATTGGAAATTAAAACTAGGGGCCCAATTATATTAAGAGAAAATAGTTAATAGGTATATATCATTATTACCTGGAAAAATAACCTAAATTGAATAGATGCTTGCCAATATAAGTAGGAAAATAACTGATTAAATGACAAAGATTGTATGGAACAAAAGTATTTATTGGCGTTACATTTCTAAATGATCTCAATCTGCTGAGCACGGAGATGCCCACCTAGGACTAGCATTGACGTCTGCTAGCCTTCCTCCTTTATGCCACCTTACCCATCTCCTAAACTGTTTCTTTCATCCTTCATTCATACTGTGTATAGCAGTAAAGGGATTCCCATCTACATCCTTCTTGCCATTTCAGAGAAAGAAGTTTTGCCCCTGCAACTAACCTCTACTCACCAAATCTAACAGATTTTCACCTGTCAACCATCCTAAACCTTTTGTCATTTTGTTTTCTATTAGAGTATCTTTTCTCTAACTGCAACTGTTCAAAAAATGAGATCCTACATAGAAAAATTTATAACAGAAACTGTAGAAGTTAAGCTGTGTTAGCATAATGTTTGTTCATGGGATAGTCAAACAGTCTAAAAACGTCGCCTTGTTGACTTCCAAGAAACAACAAAATAGTCTATTTGAGGGCTGGGAATGTGGCTTAATGGTAGAATGTTTGCTTAGCATGCATGAAACCCTGGGTTCCATTCCTCAGTACCTCATACACAGACAAAGCCAGAAGTGGCGCTGTGGCTCTAGTAGTAGAGTTCTAGCCTGGAACAAAAGAAGTTCAGGGACTGTGCTCAGGCCCTGAGTTCAAGCCCCAGGACTCGGAAAAAAACAAACAAAAAATATATATATACTCAAATAGCATATATACTAATATATATATTATATATATTACGAGTATATATATATATACTAGTATTACTAGTATATATATACTAGTATATATATTTCATACATATTATATATAATATATCATATGTATTATATATAATTATATAATATAATATATAGTATAATATATACTAGTAATACTAGTATATATACTAGTTATATATTATATGTTATATATATTACTAGTATATATATACTAGTATTAGTAGTATATATATACTAGTATATATTATATATTATATATACTAGTATATATTATATATATTATTGTAATGTATATTTTATGATATATATTATATATAAGTACACATACTAGTATATATTATATATTATATATGTTATTATATATTATATATAATATATTATACGTTATATATAATATATTATATATACTTATATATATACTCAAGTAGTATATATATAAGTATATATAATATAATATATAGTACATATATAGCATATATTAGTATATATAATATACATAGGATAGTATATTAGTATATATAATATACATAGTATATATACTTATGTATATACTATTTGAGTATATATATATTTGAATTGAACACTCGGCCTTCCCAGGATCTACATGGAATTACTGAAGAACTGACATATAGTGAATGTGCAATGTAAATGGTGATACCCACATTTAATCCAGTACGGCAACTGAATCCACTTTTATCAAAGATGGTCAAGTTCAATAGATCAATTTGCAGTTATAATTTCTTTAAAGTTTTTGTTGGTGTTTAAAGGTAATAGCACATTTAAACATCTTTATTCCTGAATCATGTATTCTTTATTCTTTCACAGACTAAGAATAAAACAGGAAATGATGGGCTTGAATTTCCCACTTGAATCTGCTCTCCTACCCTGAAAGGTACCACATAAACAGCCCACATAGATCAGGTTAAGTTCCATCCAGGTGTTCAATGAAAAATCAAAGAAGGTAGCAAAAGACGAGAAGGAGAAAGTGATAAATTTAAAGGAAAGACAGGAAGTTAAGTAAAAGAAAAGCAGCTTTGGGGTGCTTCATTATCATCAGAACATTGTATCTGCCTCTTACACCATAGTATGTGGGAGAGGGGATGGTGGCCATGTTAGAATAGTAGCATGTGGAGCTCCCACAGTGTCTAGGAAGGACATAAGTTTCTTTGATCTGCTCTGAAAGTTAGTGGGAGGCAGGTTTAAAAACCTCTGCCAGAGATTCCAGCCTGAGCTTTTCTGTTCCTTTCTGCAGCTAGATCTTACCAAGAAATTAATGTAAGACACAAATCTCTAAGTCATCAAAGAAGACTGACACATAAACAGCACGATATCATTCAGCAGAACCAATTATTCCAGAATATCTAATTTGAAGACATTGGCAATTAAATTTGATGATCTATATTGCTCTTCATCTGGATACTCCAAAGAGAGAAAGAGTTGAGTATACAATGGAGCTAAGTTCTATATTTACAAGAGAAAGATAGTACTGTCTTTTTCACTTATTTTTTATTGAATGGAATCAGAGGCAATGTGTGTATTGCATGGCTGAGGAATTTGAAAACTTGAGGATATGTCAGTCAAACCTTGTGTTCTACTTACTTTCAATTTGGTTGACTTCCAGGTAATAGTTTTCCAGGTTTTCGTTCACTGTTGGTATGCTTTTAAGCTTATTGTAGGAGAGATCCAGCTCCAGCAGGGATGATACATTAAAGGAATTGCCAGGTATTCCTCCATCTGCCAGCTCATTGTGAGATAAACGCAGGTACTGCAGCCCACTAAAACGCTTGAAATACTCATCTGGGATGTTGCTGATCTTGTTGTTATCTAAGTAAAGAGTTAGAAGGGATGCTGGGAGACCAGAAGGTAGTTTGCTCATCTGATTGAAGCTCAAGTCAAGGTACTCAAGTGATTTAAGGCCTTTTAGGGAAGACGAAACGCTGTCTTCTTTGAGCTGATTGTGTTGAAGGTGGACAAAGGTCAGGTTTACCAGTCCATCAAAGGAGCCCAGCTTTGCAATCTTGTTATGAGTAAGCTGCAGGTCCTCTAGAGACTTAGGAAGTGGGCCAACAGACTCTGTCAGATTGTTGTAGTTGATATGCAGTTTCTTTAATTGTTTCAGTCTAGAGAAGACTTTTCCTTTCATCTTGGAATTTTCTAGAAGGTTGTGATCTAGAATGAGCCACTGCAGATCAGTCACATTCTCAAAGGCTTTTTCATCGATATGGTCAATTTGGTTGTTTCTAAGGTAAAGGTACTTGATTCCAGGAGGCACCATAGGCACACTTTTTAACTTCAGCTCATCACAGTACATGGCGGTTGGATAGCTTTGAGGGCAGTTACATTCTGGGGCACAGTTTGGTGACGGTTGCCCATAAATGAATGCAGGGGAATCATAATCATAGTAGTAACTACCAATGGCACCACTTATCAATACCAAGAGTAGGGTGAATGCAGTTAGATTCATTTTCTGTTAAGTGTTGTGAAGCCTGAAGTAGGAACATAAATTATTAGAAATTAGTATAGTTCCGGGGAAAAAGACATTCAATTGACAATATTAACTTCATTAGTGAAGGTACATCTCATTTTTTGTTGTTGTTTTTTTTTAAAAAAAAACATCTTGTGCTTTGACATTGCCCTTTTCAATACATCTGAAATATGTTTTTGCTGACTTTAGAATTGTACTCATGTCCTTATTTATGTAACTGTAACCCCTGTGTACATCACCTTTACAATCAAATAAAAAATTTAAAAAGTAAAATATTTGATTGAAGAATAGCCTCAAGGGTGCATAGTTAACAACTCTTGAGAACAAGTCTCAGGTTAGAGTGCATGCACGTGTGCCCCCTTCTGGACATAATCGGTATAACTGTGCCAGTCCATTTTCCTTAGGTTCTTGCTTTAAGTACCCTCCTACAGTGCTCATTGTCAACCATGTTATTGCTACACAACATCTCTCAAAACCAGAAGAAATGAAAATGAGAAGACAATTGCAAACTGTGCACTGAACCCTACCATTCAACCTAATTAAAATGCCTCAGTAAGAAGATCCTTACTGGGAACCTAGGCCATCTGTGGTTCTCCCTGGAAGAAAGCTGTACTTAGCCCATGTGAAGTGGAGGGGGCAGAGGTTATATTCCTTTAGATAGAGTATTGTTGCTGCTTCTAGGGAAGGAAAGCTGAGTTCTTGGTAGGGATGAGTGTTTATGTTATTCGAGTTTTATTTCATATTCCATGCTTTGAAACACATTACAAAACTCTGCTCTGAAATAAATATTTCACAAATTAACATTAGAAAAGCAAGCATTTATTAATCAGAAAAAATTGCCAACTATTCTGAGACTTATTAAATGTAAAAGGAGATTCAAGTCTTAGAGGAAAAAAAATATTCTTTCATGGCTTTTACACTAAAGGTCCTCTCACTCTAAGTAACTCCTATGTGTTCTAACTTCTTCTCACCAAAATCTCAGGTAGCATTATTTGCCTATCCAGATTTTAGATTTCAGTGGCCTCACAGAATAGAAGAGGGAAAGATTAGGGAAGGATTCAACTGAGAACATGTATTTAAAGTAACTTAGAACTGTTGTACAAACACTTCTAAGATGAAAATTAGTAAAGAACACTTTCACTGTGTGAAGGAAATGCACATTCAGCAGGGTAGTGAAAGAAAAGGATAATATAGATTTTTGTAGAGGGAAGAGTTCTGGAGAAGTTGCCAGTCCCTGGAGAGAAGTTATAGCTGGGAAGCAAATCAACATGCTTGTAGTTGGCACCATCTGGTGTATTTTGCTACAAGAAGTATGACACAAGTGTTTGGATCCTGTTAGGAATAAGTAGGATTAAGGAGATAAGGAATTTTAAACCCATATTATTTTCTTTGACTTGGAATTATAAGAAATTTTATTAGCTGAAACATTCAAGACATGTTTTTAGAAATACTTCACATGCTCACATAAGTTGCAATCAGATTTCTAACAACTTATTCCCAAATATTATGGCGAAGTTACTTAATTTAATTCACAGGACTTGGACTTGCCAGTTGCAAAGCACTGAAAATGATGATTTATTCATAGGATTCTTTACAAGTTACATATTTGTCTTGTTCTGTTAATAAGCATCTACTTTTGATAATTAATTATGCACCCAAATAGTCATGGCAGTGATATAATGTGAGCATTGAATAGTAACCAGAAGTGCTTCCATAATTTTTTGGCAGAGTAAAGCGAAGGCTCTGAATTCAAAGAGAGTTTGTAACCATACAATGCCTCTACTATGAGGCAAAAACACACTGAACTTTCCCCAATGTTTTCAAATACCTGTGGCTGTAGAGGAAATGCTTTTTGCTCAAAGGGAACTATTTCTCAGAATTTCTTTAAAAGATGTCCCTTAAAACCTACATCCAAAAAATACGAATTTTTTAAAGTTAACAAAAGAAAAACAAGCAGTCTGTCAGAGCGATTAGATCGTTTAGCTAGCATTTTCTAAAACTGAATATTTATCATAAACTTTAACAAATGGTAATGACACGGTGAGTGCCAACATGTCAACTTCTGATTGAAATGACCATTCTTTGCTTCAAAATTAGTTCTCAACTGTCCTAACATAGACAACTAATTAGCATAAAGACAACACAGTTTCATCTTCCTATCTATCCAATGCATCTAGTTTATGTTCTTATTCTAACTTTGCAGTAGTTTATAACTTCTTTTGCAAATCAACACAGTCCCATCTAAAGTTTATCTGAAATCCATACATCATGGGAGAGCACAGCAAAAGTAAAAGGTGAAAGTAAATACTCAAAATTGTAGCTCTGCTGTTGAATAGCAATTGGCAAAGTTCCTCTGGAACTTTTGCTCTTCTTGTTGCAAGAAATATTGTCCCAAACAGCCAGTATCCTCTGGGCTATAGTTAAAACAGCCAGCACTTACCTTACTGTCCTGACACTGCTTCCCTTAACTCTTAAAACAGATGCACTGGGGACAAGAATCCACCAATATATGCTGTGAACTCAGGATAGAGCTGCCTGCCAGATCCTCAGTGATACAAGAGCTGAGGAGGGTGTGTGTGGGGGGTGGGGGGGGAGACCAGCCCAGTCACGCCAGTCTCTGAATAGAGTTATGTCATTGTGGGGCTCTTGTGGTGTGGCATACAAACTCTGCTCTCTAACGAAGTGCAGGTGGACAGGGTGAGCAAGAACAGCCCAGCTCATTCCCTATGGAACTGGGAGAGAAAGAGAGAGAGAGAGAGAGAGAGAGAGAGAGAGAGAGAGAGAGAGAGAGAGAGAGAGGTGCTTAACTAGTTGAAATACCATAGCTTTTAACCAAACATTTAATCCTGCCCCCAAAGGAGACAACAGAGTGAAAATGTTTCTCTTAAAAACTTCTTGACACCGTGTCTGTCTTTCCTTACTTTTATGTTCGTGTAAAGTTCTCATAAATCATAATTAGAGCAAATGTTTTCAAAAATGCAAATGAGTAAACTTAGAGAACTTGAATCAAATCTTTTCTGTTCCATCATTTGTGATATCTATCATTCGTGATCATGTCTGGATTTGCTTTGACTTTCTTTTGCCTTGGAAGCAATTTATATTAATATGTAAAATACAAAAAATGCTTTACTAATGCAAACAATAAACACCAGCATTTCCATTTAACTTCTTACATGAAGGGAACTGATTCTTATGCTCCTCAGATCTGGAAATCATCAATGTTTGGCCTGTTTCTCATTTATGGATTTTCCCCCAAACTTTACGTGCAGATATCATTCTATAGCTCACTGCCAAAAATTTTAAAACAACAAAGAAAAACATTAAGGAATGCTAAAAATATCACAAGACAATAATTTTTCATTCTGTCATCATGTGTTCTTTGATTTTTTTTCAAAGCTAAAAATTGTCCAAAGTTATAGGCTCCCATAGGCCTAGTTTCATAGATCTATGCATGTCAGTCCTGATGCATTTTAGCAATAGAGCAATCTATCAAGTACTTATCTATTTGATGCTTTAACTGTACAGCTGAATTTAGAAGATGTTGAGACCAAAATTGTTTATTTCCTCATGTTTACAAAAACTCTTAGGCAAGATATTTTAGTATGAGTTACCACATATAATTCTTCTAATATATCTTAAGTATTTTTTAGCATGGAAACCTGTGTATAGTTATTCTCCATGACCACTATCACATTTACTTTAAAAATAGAAAAAAATGTCCAATTTTGTAATAGTATAGTTGAAAAACAAAACATATTCTCTTTGAAAGTAACTTCTGTTATTTGAAAATAATGCCTAAGCATAAAAATTTACTATTATTGTTTTTGAAAATTATTGAAAGATGGAAATATTATAACAAGGGAAATGAATGAATTTAAGAAGAATTAGGATTAAAAGACAAATGGATAAATCAAATAAAATTAAGTGATTTGTTATAAGAGTTTGATTTAAAAAACTCTAAATTACTTAGAGCACATCTCTAAATCTGAGATTTCTTTGAAAATTTTCAGTTGCATATTCTTTTTTTAAAGTTTTTTTTGTGTGAAAATACCATAAAGAGGGATTACAATTACATGAGCAAGGTAATGAGTACATTTCTTATGAAGCATTGTTGCCTTCTCCTTTGTTTTTCCCCTACCATCCCTGCCCTCCCATCTCCACAACTGCACTCCACCTCCACCGCCCCCCCCAAAGTTGTAAAGTTTGTTTTCCGACATACATCTTGTACATCGCATTGTTGCAATGGGTCAGCCTGTATCCCTATTTATTTTTTTTATTCATTTTACTTTTTTTTTTTTTGTGAACACCCTGTACAGAGGGGTTACAATTACATGGGCAGGATAATGCGTACATTCCTTATCAAGCATTGCAGCCTCCTCCTTTGTTTACCCTTCACATCCCTTCCCAGCCTCCCCCCCCAATCCTCCCCGCGGGCCCCCCCCCCCCAAACCAACATTGTAAAGCTCGTTTTCGACATGACAACTTGTACTTCTCATTGTTGCAACAGGTCCACCTGTATCCTTAAACGACTTGTTTTTCCCCATCTCCTCTACAAGTTATACTGACATCAAATATAGTGAAAGCAGGGGTTATACTGTGGGGGAGAGACATACAAAGCAACAAAGAGATAATCTTATAAATGCACTAGAAACAAATGCATGAAAGAAAAAAAACATTAAAATACATATCTAAGGGTTCATTTTCCTAACATCACATTATCTGACCTTTTCCGCTTGACTCATACATATACTAGATATTGCAAATAAGGGAAACCATGGGACCTATGTTTCTTTGGGCCTGGCTTACTTCACTTAATATAATTTTTTCCAACTCTTTCCATTTCCTAACAAATGGGGCAATGTCATTCTTTCTGATGGAGGCATAGAATTCCATTGTGTATATATACCACATTTTCTTGATCCATTCATCTACTGAGGGGCATCTGGGCTGGTTCCATATCTTAGCTGTATCCCTATTTAAACAATTTGTTTTTTCCCTACCCCTCCCCAAATTATACCAACATCAAATACAGTGAATGAACAACTTGTACAAAAGTACAAGTTGTCATGTCGAAAATGAGCTTTACAATGTTGGTTTGGGGGGTGGGGGCCCGCGGGGAGGATTGGGGGGGGAGGCTGGGAAGGGTTGTGAAGGGTAAACAAAGGAAGAGGCTACAATGCTTGATAAGGAATGTACGCATTATCCTGCCCATGTAATTGTAACCCCTCTGTACAGGGTGTTCACAAAAAAAAAAAAAATAAAGCAACAAAAATTCACCTTATAAATACGTTAGAAACAATAGCAAGATAGAAAAAACCACTTGTGTCCTTATCTTGGTGTTCCTTTCGCCTAACATCATCTTATCTGACCTTTTCTGCTTGTCTGAGACAGAAATTTTCTTAATAGAGACCCAGAAACACAACAAATCAGAGAAAGGTTGGACAAATGGGATAGCATGAAGCTGCAGAGCTTCTGCATGGCAAAGGACATAGCTAGCAAGATCAATAGAAAGCCCACGGATTGGGTGAAGATCTTCACTAGCCATACAATGGACAAGGGTCTCATATCTAAAATATACCTGGAACGCAAAAAATTAAATCCCCCAAAAACAAATCCTCAAAGAAACAACTGCCCAATAAATAAGTGGGCTAAACACTTAAAGAGAAACTCCTCTGAAGAGGAAATAAGAATGGCCAATAGACACATGGAGAAATGCTCAAACTCTCTAGCCAGAAAAGAAATGCAAGTCAAAACAACACTGAGATACCACCTCATCCCAGTTAGAATGGCTAAAATCAAGAACTCTAGTAACAACAGATGCTGGAGGGGATGTGGACAGAAAGGAACCTTACTGCATTGTTGGTGGGAATGTAAACTTGTTCAACCACTTTGGAAAGCAGTATGGAGGTTCCTCAAAAGACTCCACATAGAGCTCCCCTATGACCCAGCAATCCCACTTTTGGGCATTTACCCAAATGATCACAAACAAGACCACACTAAAGCTACCAGCACTACTATGTTTATTGCAGCATTATTTACCATAGTTAAGATATGGAACTAACCCAGATGCCCCTCAGTAGATGAATGGATCAAGAAAATGTGGTATATATACACAATGGAATTCTTTGCCTCCATCAGAAAGAATGGCATTGCCCCATTTGTTAGGAAATGGAAAGGCTTGGAAAAAATTATATTAAGTGAAGTAAGCCAGGCCCAAAGAAACATAGGTCCTATCATCTCCCTTATTTGCAATAAGTGGTATATGTCTGAGACAAGCAGTTACATACTCTTGAATTTTTTACATCTTTCTTTGGCTAGTAGGGGGTTTGAACTCAGGGAGTCATGCTCTTACTTAGCTTTTCTAATCATGGCTGGCTTTCTGTCATGAGAGTCACAGCTCCACTTGTGACTTTTTGCTGGTTAATTGAAGGTAAAAGTCTCATGGACTTTTCTACCTGGGCTGACTTTGAACCATGATGCTCATCTCTCAGCCTTCTGAGTTGGTAGGATTATTGGTTTAAGCCACTGGTGCCCAGCTCTTAAATACTTCTTTATAAAGCAATAAATAAAGGTCTGGGAAGCTGGTGCTATCAATATATGCATTTAATAAAAACCAGCATTCTGAGAACAATAAATTTAATAGCTTTGTACATTTGAAGTCAAATTGCATGTTTTCTAGATCTATGATGAAGAATTAACATTAATATTTATAGCAAATCTTCTATATTCCATGCTATTTCTCAGAATTTTCACATATTACTTTAAATTTCATATGATAAAAAAATCTTTGTATTATGTGTTACTATGTTTTCAGAAGTAGAAGCAGAAACTAGGGAGATAGAAATAATTTGCTAAATGTCATCCTGAGGGTATTTGAGGCTGAGCATGTTTTATCCAGAGAGATTATCGTGGTGGAATTGTAACCCACACCTAAGAATTAGAGCCACTATTACGTGACATCAGCAGAGATGCTGAAAAACACTGAAACTATTGCATCTACCACATTTGGATCCCAACTCTGGAAATAAAGCTCCAGGATCTCTGGAGCTTTTGTGTCACCCCTCAACTGACAGAGCTTTTATATCCAAGACTAGGATGGAAGAAGGGATTCTAAAGCAGCAAAACAACCCAGGATTTCTGGAAACTAAATTTCTTCAAGCAACTTTCAGGAGTGGAAAAAAAAAGAAAGAGGTCTAATCTTGATCCTTTTGTGATTTCATGGATCACAGGATGTTACATGTACATGAAAAGAGCATAATGAAAACCACCAATATACTGTTTGCAAAGGGAGGATGAGGAAGAGAGGAATGGGCCTAGGATGGAGAAAGCAAATTTGTTTCAAGAGCATGGTGTGCAATATGGAAATATTACTGAGACCCTCTCATTCTACAAAAGTATGCTCATTCTAAAAGTAAGATTAAAAAAGGTAAGAGGACTATTTGAATATGAATGGACATAAAGAATAGCATTTATGCAATGCCCTTAGCATAGTATTTTGTAAAATATGAATGATTAATATTGGCATGATTTGTGCTTTATAGTTCTTACAACTCAATATTTACTCTTCTTACTTCATCAGAGTCCTAGAACTATAGAATTGGAATGAATCTGAGATGATGGGTTGTATTAAACAGT